GACTAAGATGCACACATGGACCTACAGACACGCAAAGAAATGGAGTTACACTGACTAACATGGAGGCATGCACACACAGCGACTAACACACACACACATGGACTGAGACACACACACATACATAGAGTGACACACACATTGCCGTACACACACATACACATGTCGACTGTCACACAGACATCCACTTGAGATACACACACATGGAGTTACACACACATATATGGACGTACACACACACAGCGACACACACACACATAGAGTGACACACACATTGCCGTACACACACATACACATGTCGACTGTCACACAGACATCCACTTGAGATATACACACATGGAGTTACACACACATATATGGACGTACACACACACAGCGACTCACACACACATACAGCGACTCACACACACACACACCGACTCGCACACATCGATACGTGGACTAAAATACACATTGACGTAAACACACACATATGTACTCGCACACACAGCAAAAGCACAGCAAAAAAGGGGAAATTGAGCAACCCAAAAATCCAAAAAGAGTTTTGTGCACACAAACATAATTATTGTAACATATCAACTCGTTTCATAATGGTAAACAATAAACCTGAGTTGTTATCTTCACGCAAACATAATTATTGTAACATCTGTGAACTTGTTTCATAATGGTAAACAATGAAGCTGAGTTTTTATCTGCACACAAACATTATTATTGTAACATCTGTGAACTTGTTTCATATTGGTAAACAATGAAGCTGAGTTTTTATCTGCACACAAACATTATTATTGTAATGTTTGTAAACTAATGTCTTTAACAATAGTAAACAATGGACTTGAGTTGTTAGCGTAAGAAGCAAGGAACTTTGTACTTACCATAGGCGTGTTGAGGCCTTGTGCCATGCTTAGCCCCCGTCCTGGCCTACATTGGCGAGGCGCGGAGTTGGCACGTTGCCAGGCTAGCGGCTGGGCCGCTACCCGACCCCCCAGCATCCCCTGCCCGTGCAAGAATAATGCTATGTAAGCAGTAAAATATTATTATCTACGGAGTCTGTGGTATAAACTGAACGCATCGTTTTGGGGGGGGGGGGGGGGGCGAAGAGGACATGACACTGTGAAGAAATATCCGCAGCGTGATGTGTGTACGTGTTGTCTGTAAAACGCGTGAAAGAAAATGTCTCCCGTGAGCTCGAGCGAACGCGCATCACTTGGCAGGGTCCGCCCCCCCCATGCAATTGGCGTCACTTGGTACAGTCGATGTCGTGCAGTAAGTAAATAATGAATAATAGAAACGGCACAAATGTGTTAATTAAACTACTTTATAGTTTACGGACGGGAAAACGGAATAGCCTATACCCACCACGGGGCTTAGGGCGTGCCGCCTGGCAAATTATTTCAGTGTTAAATACCATCGTCCGAGAGCCAAATCCCCCGCAAGCGCGAGCGCACGGAGACTTTTATATATAAGATGCATTTTATTCAGGTCTCAAGACTCTTGTTCCAGAAAGACTCATGGCTTCACCCCACAGAGACCCACAGACTCACCACACAGAGACCCACAGACTCACCACACAGAGACCCACAGACTCATCACATAGAGACCCACAGACTCATCACACAGAGACCCACAGACTCACCACACAGAGACCCACAGACTCACCACACAAAGACCCACAGACTCATCACATAGAGACCCACAGACTCATCACACAGAGACCCACAGACTCACCACACAGAGACCCACAGACTCACCACACAGAGACCCACAGACTCAACACACAGAGACCCATAGACTCACCACACAGACCCCAGACTCAACACACAGAGACCCACAGACTCACCACACAGAGACCCACAGACTCACCACACAGAGACCCACAGACTCACCACACAGCCCACAGACTCACCACACAGAGACCCACAGACTCATCACACAGAGACCCAACAGACTCATCCACAACAGATACCCACAGACTCATCACAAGAGACCCAGACTCATCACCACAGAGACCCACAGACTCACCACACAGAGACCCACAGACTCACCACACAGAGACCCACAGACTCAACACACAGAGACCCACAGACTCACCACACAGAGACCCACAGACTCACCACACAGAGACCCACAGACTCATCACACAGAGACCCATAGACCCACCACACAGAGACCCACAGACTCATCACACAGAGACCCATAGACTCACACCCAGAAGACCCACAGACTCACCACCCAGAGACCCATAGACTCACCACACAGAGAGCCACAGACTCAACCACACAAAGACCCATAGACTCACCACACAGAACCCATAGGACCACCACACAGAGACCCCACAGACTCACCACACAGACCAGACTCCACAGACTCACCACCCAGAGACCCACAGACTCATCACACAAGAGACCCACAGACTCACCACACAGATCACACACAGAGACCCACAGACTCACCACACAGAGACCCACAGACTCACCACACAGAGACCCACAGACTCACCACACAGAGACCCATAGACTCACCACACAGAGACCCACAGACTCACCACACAGACTCACCACAGAGACCCATAGACTCACCACACAGAGACCCACAGACTCACCACACAGACTCACCACACAGAGACCACAGACTCACCACACAGAGACCCACAGACTCACCACACAGAGACCCACAGACTCACCACACAGAGACCCATAGACTCACCACACAGAGACCCACAGACTCACCACACAGAATTCACCGCACAGAGACCCATAGACTCACCACACAGAGACCCACAGACTAACCACAGAGACCCACATACTCACCACACAGAGACCCACAGACTCACCACAGAGACCCACAGACTCACAACAGAGACCCACACTCACACACAGAGACCCACAGACTCACCACACAGAGACCCACAGACTCACCACACAGAGACCCACAGACTCACCACACAGAGACCCACAGACTCACCACACAGAGACCCACAGACTCACCACACAGAGACCCACAGACTCACCACACAGAGACCCACAGACTCACCACACAGAGACCCACAGACTCACCACACAGAGACCCACAGACTCACCACACAGAGACCCACAGACTCACCACACAGAGACCCACAGACTCACCACACAGAGACCCACAGACTCACCACACAGAGACCCACAGACTCACCACACAGAGACCCACAGACTCACACACAGAGACCCACAGACTCATCACACAGAGACCCACAGACTCACCACACAGACTCACCACACAGAGACCCACAGACTCACCACACAGAGACCCACAGACTCACCACACAGAGACCCACAGACTCACCACACAGAGACCCACAGACTCACACACAGAGACCCACAGACTCACCACACAGAGACCCACAGACTCACCACACAGAGACCCACAGACTCACCACACAGAGACCCACAGACTCACCACACAGAGACCCACAGACTCACCACACAGAGACCCACAGACTCACCACAAGAGACCCACAGACTCACCACACAGAGACCCACAGACTCACCACACAGAGACCCACAGACTCACCACACAGAGACCCATAGACTCACCACACAGAGACCCACAGACTCACCACACAGACCCATAGACTCACCACACAGAGACCCATAGACTCACCACACAGAGACCCACAGACTCACACAGAGACCCATAGACTCACCACACAGAGACCCACAGACTCACCACACAGAGACCCACAGACTCACACACAGAGACCCATAGACTCACCACACAGAGACCCACAGACTCACCACACAGAGACCCAGACTCACCACACAGAGACCCACAGACTCACCACACAGAGACCCACAGACTCACACAGAGACCCACAGACTCACCACACAGAGACCCACAGACTCACCACACAGAGACCCACAGACTCACCACACAGACTCACACAGAGACCCACAGACTCACACACAGACTCACCACAGAGACCCACAGACTCACCACACAGAGACCCACAGACTCACCACACAGACTCACCACACAGAGACCCACAGACTCACCACACAGACTCACCACACAGAGACCCACAGACTCACCACACAGAGACCCACAGACTCACCACACAGACTCACCACACAGAGACCCACAGACTCACCACACAGACTCACCACACAGAAACCCACAGACTCACCACACAGAGACCCACAGACTCACCACACAGACTCACCCACACAGAGACCCACAGACTCATCACACAGAGACCCATAGACTCACCACACAGAGACCCACAGACTCACCACACAGAGACCCACAGACCCACCACACAGAGACCCACAGACTCATCACACAGAGACCCATATACTCACCACACAGAGACCCATAGAATCACCACACAGAGACCTATAGACTCACCACACAGAGACCCATATACTCACCACACAGAGACCCATAGACTCATCACACAGAGACCCATAGACTCACCACACAGAGATCCACAGACTCACCACACAGAGACCCACAGACTCACCACACAGAGACCCACAGACTCACCACACAGAGACCCACAGACTCACCACACAGAGACCCACAGACTCACCACACAGAGACCCACAGACTCACCACACAGAGACCCACAGACTCACCACACAGAGACCCACAGTCTCATGGCGGTCACGGCTGCATCACGTGGAAGGTGGCTGAGGGCGGCATCCACGAATGGCCCCACGGCGGCCGCTTGAGGAAGTGCGACGCACCAGGAGGCCGGCGGCTCTTCGCCCGCCTGGCGGCGCTGGTGGTGCTGGTGGTGGCGCTGGTGGTTGTGGTGGTGCTGGTGGTGCTGGTGGTGGCGCTGGTGGTGGTGATGCTGGTGGTGCTGGTGGTGGCGCTGGTGGTGGTGGTGGTGGGTGTGGTGGTGGTGGTGGTGCTGGTGGTGGTGCTGGCGGTGGTGGTGGTGGTGGTGCTGGTGGTTCTGGTGGTGGTGGTTCTGGTGGTGGTGGTTCTGGTGGTGGTGGCGCTGGTGGTGGCGTTGGTGGTGCCCATGGCGCTGGTGATGGCGCTGGCGGCCCTCGTGGCGCGTCCACGCCGGTCGAAGGCCGCAAAGCGCTGGGGGTGCTCCGCACTCCGCAGCGCCGTGTAGTGGTTCTCCAGGTAGAGCTCGGTGAAGACACAACCTCGGTCACGGCCGTCCAGCTGAGCGGGGTGAGTGGGGGGGGATTAGGGGGTGAGTGGGTGGGTGAGTGAGTGAGTGGGTGAGTGAGTGGGTGGGTGATTGAGTGAGTGAGTGGGTGAGTGGGTGAGTGAGTGAGCGAGCGACTGAGCGAGTGAGTGAGTGAGTGGGTGGGTGAGTGGTTGAGTGAGTGGGTGAGTGAGTGGGTGAATGTTTGAGTGAGTGAGTGGGTAAGTGGGCGGGTGAGTGGTTGAGTGAGTGGGTGGGTGAGTGGGTGAGTGAGTGTGTGGGTGAGTGAGTGGGTGAGTGGGTGAGTGAGTGGGTGGGTGGGTTAGTGAGTGAGTGGGTGAGTGAGTGAGTGGGTGGGTGAGTGAGTGAGTGAGTGGGTGGGTGGGTGAGTGAGTGAGTGGGTGAGTGGGTGGGTGAGTGAGTGGGTGAGTGAGTGAGTGAGTGGGTGGGTGGGTGGGTGGGTGGGTGAGTGAGTGGGTGAGTGTGTGGGTGAGTGAGTGAGTGGTTGAGTGAGTGAGTGGTTGAGTGAGTGGGTGGTTGAGTGAGTGGGCGAGTGGTTGAGTGAGTGAGCGAGTGAGCGAGTGAGCAAGTGGGTGAGTGGGTGAGTGGGTGAGTGAGTGGGTGAGTGTGTGGGTGAGTGAGTGGTTGAGTGAGTGAGTGGTTGAGTGAATGAGTGAGTTGTTGAGTGAGTGGTTGAGTGAGTGAGTGAGTGGGTGAGTGAGTGGGTGAGTGAGTGAGTGGTTGAGTGAGTGAGTGGATGACTGAGTGGGTGAGTGAGTGGGTGAGTGAGTGAGTGCGGTCTCCGCCCACCTTGCCCACCAGGTTGCCATTCCTGTCCATGCAGATGTGGTACCGCGTCCGAACCCCGAGCAGACGAATGTTCCCACCAAACGAATCCGTCTCCGCCCGGAGCAGCGCTGCGGGGAGGAGGAGGAGGTGGAGGAGGAGGTGGAGGAGGAGGAGGAGGTGGAGGAGGTGGTGGAGGAGGAGGAGGAGGAGGTGGAGGAGGAGGTGGAGGAGGAGGTGGAGGAGGTGGTGGAGGAGGAGGAGGAGGTGGAGACGTCGTCACCATCACGGCACTCGCGCTTTGAGTGATCTACGCCAGGTGTGGTTAGTCTGTGGGTCTCTGTGTGGTGAGTCTGTGGGTCTCTGTGTGGTGAGTCTGTGGGTCTCTGTGTGGTGAGTCTATGGGTCTCTGTGTGGTGAGTCTGTGGGTCTCTGCGCGGTGAGTCTATGGGTCTCTGTGCGGTGAGTCTGTGGGTCTCTGTGTGGTGAGTTTGTGGGTCTCTGTGTGGTGAGTCTGTGGGTCTCTGTGTGGTGAGTCTGTGGGTCTCTGTGTGGTGAGTCTGTGGCTCTCGGTGTGGTGAGTCTGTGGCTCTCAGTGTGGTGAGTCTGTGGGTCTCTGTGTGGTGAGTCTGTGGGTCTCTGTGTGGTGAGTCTGTGGGTCTCTGTGTGGTGAGTCTGTGGGTCTCTGTGTGGTGAGTCTGTGGCTCTCGGTGTGGTGAGTCTGTGGCTCTCGGTGTGGTGAGTCTGTGGCTCTCGGTGTGGTGAGTCTGTGGGTCTCTGTGTGGTGATTCTGTGGGTCTCTGTGTGGTGAGTCTATGGGTCTCTGTGTGGTGAGTCTGTGGGTCTCTGTGTGGTGAGTCTGTGGGTCTCTGTGTGGTGAGTCTGTGGCTTTCTGTGTGATTAGTCTGTGGCTCTCTGTGTGATGAGTCTATGGGTCTCTGTGTGACGAGTCTGTGGGTCTCTGTGTGGTGAGTCTGTGGGTCTCTGTGTGATGAGTCTGTGGGTCTCTGTGTGATGAGTCTGTGGGTCTCTGTGTGAGGGGTTGAGTCTGTGGGTCTCTGTGTGGTGAGTCTGTGGGTCTCTGTGTGGTGAGTCTGTGGGTCTCTGTGTGGTGAGTCTGTGGGTCTCTGTGTGGTGAGTCTGTGGGTCTCTGTGTGGTGAGTCTGTGGCTCTCGGTGTGGTGAGTCTGTGGCTCTCGGTGTGGTGAGTCTGTGGCTCTCGGTGTAGTGAGTCTGTGGGTCTCTGTGTGGTGAGTCTGTGGGTCTCTGTGTGGTGAGTCTATGGGTCTCTGTGTGGTGAGTCTGTGGGTCTCTGTGTGGTGAGTCCGTGGCTCTCTGTGTGATGAGTCTGTGGCTCTCTGTGTGATGAGTCTATGGGTCTCTGTGTGACGAGTCTGTGGGTCTGTGTGGTGAGTCTGTGGGTCTCTGTGTGGTGAGTCTGTGGGTCTCTGTGATGAGTCTGTGGGTCTCTGTGTGGTGAGTCTATGGGTCTCTGTGTGAGTGAGTCTGTGGGTCTCTGTGTGGTGAGTCTGTGGGTCTCTGTGTGGTGAGTCTGTGGGTCTCTGTGTGGTGAGTCTGTGGGTCTCTGTGTGGTGAGTCTGTGGGTCTCTGTGGGTCTCTGTGCGATGAGTCTGTGGGTCTCTGTGTGGTGAGTCTGTGGGTCTCTGTGTGATGAGTCTGTGGGTCTCTGTGTGGTGAGTCTGTGGGTCTCTGTGTGATGAGTCTGTGGGTCTCTGTGTGGTGAGTCTATGGGTCTCTGTGTGAGTGAGTCTGTGGGTCTCTGTGTGGTGAGTCTGTGGGTCTCTGTGTGGTGAGTCTGTGGCTCTGTGTGGTGAGTCTGTGGGTCTCTGTGGGTCTCTGTGTGACGAGTCTATGGGTCTCTCTGTGGCTCTCTGTGTGGCTCTCTGTGGCTCTAGCCCCGTCTCACCGTAGGGGTCCCCGTCCCCCCCGCGCGCCACGATCTGTGGGCCCAGCACCTGCACGTGGGCCCCGCTGGCGCGCGAGTACAGCTGGTAGGTGCGCACGACACGGCGCGACAAGTCGTCGGAGCGACGCGACGCCTCCTGCACGTGGCGATCGAAGACCCACGAGGAGGGAGGAGACCCGGCCAGCTGGGGGACGGGGTTGTCATGGAGATACACAGAGACTCATAGAGGTAGATGGAGACTCATAGAGACTCGTAGAGACTAACCTGGGATCCCTTGTATGATTGCTACCCTCTCCCCGCACACAGACAGGCATAGAGGGACCCGTGCGTTAGTGCAAGCGCGCTCACGCTCACCTGTACCTGTGGGTAGAGCGCCAGTGACAACCAACACCTAGGGGCACAAAGACAAAGATCCCCCGTTTAGCCTTAACAAACTGTTGGGGAAAGTGCTGTTAGCGAGCACCTATGAAGGCCGGAACGGCACACGAGGGGGTGGGTGGCCAGCACCACGCCCGACCGCCTTTGTCTCCCCAGTGGCGACGTTTACACACCACGCCAGGTACTCATTTGGGGCCGAGTCGACCTAGGGGAGGCCCAGGACCGGTTCAAATAATCGCGACTGGTGTTGGCCGTGAGCGGCAATCGAACCCGGATTGCCGGGTTCATAGCGCAACGCGCTAACCACTACGCCCACCGCTCTCACACACAACAACAACAACCGCCATTCGCCACTAAGTGGCGGTGACGTCACCACGATGCTTGTGCCAGGCTATGTGCACCTTGAGGCCACGTGAAGTGTCGAAAGCCCGCTGGCAGGAGGTCACGGGGTAGGCCCAGGTGCCACGGGTCGACTGAGAGGACTGGCTGATACACCACCTGTGCCAACTTGCTGTGCTTTAGCCACCCGGCGCTCTGCTCGTTGTTGTGAGCATCGCTCCTCCGCCCTCCGTTGTTGTTGGAGGGCGACTGCCTCCAACTGCCCAGTAGCGTCCTTCACGAGCCTCCTCCACAGAGGCCGATCTTGACACCGCTGGTACCAGTCATCGGTAAGTCCACTCAGCTCCACGTCCTCCTGTACCACATCACTCCATCTCGTCTCTAGCCCGTGCCGCGCCCGTTTAGCCCCCTCAATCCGGCCGAACAAAAGCTGTTTGGGCATGCGGTGGCTGGGCATGCGGGCTACATGACCCAGCCAACGCAGCCTTGCCTGCCGGAGGAGCTCACCGATGGGACTTTGTCCAGATCTTTCGACGATTTGTGAGCTCCTCACACAATCCAGCCTGGTTAAACCCAGGATTGATCGTAGGCAGGCCAGCCTAAATGTTTCGAACCAGTGAAGATGTTTCATTAGGGGGGTCCACGTTTTGCAAGCGTAGAGAAGGGAGGGAATGACTGTGGCCGAGAAGACCCGAAGCTTCGTGCGGAGCGACAGACCAGGTAGCTTCCACACAGACACACTCACAGACACACACACTCACATATGCAGACAGTTAGGGAGTCACTAACATACGTACACAGACTGACAGACACACATACACACGGGGAGACACACATAGAACCATATGGGAGATTAAACAGTACATTGATTCCTATTGAAGATTATGTAACTTTGAGTCCTATGGGAGATTAATTAGCATATAGTGACATAGCAGATGTCACTCCATCCACTGGCTACTCACCGTTTTTTTTTCTGTACGGGAGAGAACACGACCCCCCGATTGAAGTCCAGTTACGAGCCGCGCCAAACAGGACTAAATCCAAAATGGCTGACTCCGTGCCTTTTACTCTTCAGAAGCTTTCCGAAGCGCGGGAGGCTTCCAGGGAGAATTCCAATTCGCGCCAATTGGCAAATGCGCGGCTGAGGGGTCCCCGTCCTTCCACACATGAGTGGGTGCCAGGGCACAGAGGCTGGTTGCACTGTCCACAGGTACCGGTGGGCACGTCGTCCAAATTGTTTAAACCCTGGAGGGGGTCGGTTGATGCGATTCGGGTCGTTGGACCGCAGTGCGCTCGGATTCGGCGGAGTTGCTTTGTACATCCCTCGCGCCTCAAGCCTTTCATTGCGCCACGGGAGTTCGTTCCATCACCACACCGTAGATGTGTCTGGCGAGCCGAGGTGTGTTCCCGCCGAGGTTTGTCCTCAGCGGAGTCGTGCGATCCCGTCCTCAGGTGCCGCGGTGCCGCGCGCCTAACGTCCCCCAGCCGCCACACGCGCCGTCGCCGCTGGATTCGGGAGAGGAGAACCCGTCCGCCCGGAAAGACAGCCCTGTTCTTCACCTGAGGACGGCTGCTTGCGTTGTGGCTGAAACGTCGTGAAAATTGTATTTTATTATGTTTTATTATTATTTTATTATTTCCCTTCTACGTGACATTACCGAAAGAACCAAGAAGATGAATCCCTGCAGTCACGAAAGCTTTACATCGAAATTTACATCGAAAAAAATCACGTGTGAGCTGGCGCAGCTGAGCTCGCTGAGCCTCCGTCAGTCCGGGTTTCTAAGAGCAAAGAGATTCCAACCATGCGGAGTCCGGCTCATCAGCTTCACCAACGCTTCCCGCGAAACCAGGAAATGGCTCCGTGCTATCAAAACACCGGGCCACCGTGGCAAGCGCCAGGACAGTGACCGCCTGAATCACAACCGGCGCATGCCCCGAATTGAGTACTTGTAGGAACGGCACCCGCTCGGCGGATACAATAGCCGTCGCCCCGCAAGGGAAGGAGATCGCGACACGGCGTTCGAAGGGGTTAGCAGGACACCCTCCTCCGGGCCCGCCGTTGCAGGCAACTCTTTGCGCAATCGCAGCGGAACGAGCATTTGGGAGCCCGGAGGAACTTTAAGGGTTCCGCCGGCCATCGCTCGAATGACGGCGTTCTGCGATGGCTCACGACCGGGGGAGTTCGGAAACAAAAATCGCTTTCCCAATGGCATTTCAATACACCCTGGTCGATGAGAATTTTCAAGGGCATTCTGCCTATAAAATCGGTGCCCATCTGACCCATTATGGCCAGACTCCCTCTGTTAGCCGCCACACAAGCGCTTCCCATGGCGGCAAGACGATCGGACGGCGAAGGCAACATACGACACACAGCCTCGGAGACCGTAGTCACCACGGCCCCTGTGTCTATCAACAGACGAACCTGGATCCCCTGAATTAACCCCATCACTGTTGAAGAACCTCCACTACGTGATGAGCCAGTGCGTTCCACTGTTTGACGCAGCGAGGCCAACACACTAGCGACCCCACGCCCTGTGTACGAGTCACGACGGTGCGAGTTTTCACAGGGTGAGATGGATGATGGGACAAGAACGGGCGTGTGTCTGATGTGTCCGGACTCGCATGTGTATTTCGGAAGGGGGAGGGAGGTGTTGAAGCTGGAGGACGGAGGCGACGAGAACCTGCCGGTCCCATAGCGGCGGTCGACGGCGATGCGGCCCTGGCGGCCGCCCCTATAGCAGGTCCGGGAAGAACGCCCAGGCGGCCGGCTCAGCTCAGGGCACCATTCCTCTGCTGATGGGCGCAGGGCGATGCTCCTTCCGTCCGATCCCCCGGGCGAAAGAGGCACACGTCCGCTCGTCCACTGCCGGCCAGTCCTCGTGGTTGAGGTGTGCTTGGATGCCGTGGGCCACCTGCAGAGAAGTCAGGTCGCCTTCTTCCTCTGCCACCGCGAGGGCGATCCCCAAGCTCCCGAGCCAAGGAGAGAATCCGCTTCAAGGCGAGGGAATCCAAGGCGACTCTGTCCGTGCGAGGGAAGGCCGCGTGCCCTGAGGCGAGGAGCGCACTGCGGTAAGCCAGCGGCGTCTCGTTTCCTCCCCGTCGCCGAAGCCTGAATCCTCTCCGAACATTAGACGGGGGGATCAAACATAGCGGCCACCTCGGTGTAGGCGCTGCTCAAGGGGATGGCAAACAAAAGCGGCTAACGAGTCGTCGTCGAGGGCCGTCGGAAGAGCTTGAAGCACCTCACGGGATGTCCGTCCCACCAAGGAGTAGGCGGCCTCGAATCGACGACGAAAAGCCGTCCAATCTCCTCCCGCAACAGTGAACTGATGCACCGGTGGCAGCCATCGGGACTCGGAAGTGTCCAGCAAGGGCGAAGAGGCAGCTTCAACCTTGGAAGGCGGATCGCCCGAAATGAAGGACGGTTGGAGCACGGCTGCAGCCACCGAAATGTAAGCGCCCCAGTCACGTGGGTCATGGCAGCGGTGGAAAGCGTGTCCTGGTGTCCAGCGGAAGTCGCAGCCGTCATGCGCTCAAAGAGATGACGGCAATCTTCGCCAGGGGGCCGGCGATGTCCAGCCAGCTCTGCGGAGGAGGCGGCTGGGCTGGACTCGCCACGCACTCCTGAGCTGACTGAAGCACGTCGTCGTCGCAGCAGTTGCTTGGACCTCCGGCAACGGGAGCTGTCGGAGGAACGATGTCTTGCTCGGCGTCGTTGTCGGACGACGCAACAGGTGGGTTTTTTACATTTTACTGCTGCTTTGGACATGCCGGCGAAGGATCGTCAGCACTTCTAACACCAAATGTAGTGTCCTTAAAAATTACTCACACCGAGACGTGGTAACAAGTCACCTGCTTACACTTTATTACTACGAAACGCTTTGGTTCTTTCGGTAAAGTCACGTAGGTATAAAATAAAATAAATCATAGCAACACAAGTGGTCGTCCTCAGGCAGAAAAATATAATCCAGCAGTGGAACTGCTGAACCAGCGAGAGAGCAGTTACAAACAAGGTCATATACGTGGCGATGGGCAAGCAAGCGGGGTCTGGCCTGGAAAAGAATTCCATTCACGGACGCAAGCACGTCAGACGTATTAATGGGGGAGATTAGAGAGAGAGGGATTAGGGAGAGAGATTAGCTTGAATGAGCTTCCATTGCTGCATAAGAGTATAATGCTCGCATATGCGGACAACACCAGTGTTAATGAGAGATTAGCACCATGAGAGTACAATCCAAAGGGCATGTGAGAGATCTAAGAGAGACGCATAGAGAGAGAGAGACACACAGAGAGTCGGAAATAACAGCTGACATAAGCAGGTAGGATGGAAACATCACAGTCAGTAAAGACTGTACCTGGTTAATAACGTCGTTCCAATGATTGCTTAGTTTGTACCCATCTTCTCGGTTGAAGTTGTGTCTGTATTTATATATCTGGATGGCTTCATGAACAAATCTCTGAAGGTAGCCGGTAGGTTTGCAGAGTACCTCCGTCTTGGAAAAATCGTTTTCGTGTGCACCCACAGCAACGGCAGAGGTATTGGTCCTACCGTGTTTTAGATCTGCCACGTGTTCACGAACACTGTCCGAGACATGTCATTTCGTTTCCCCAATGTAACTCCTGGATCTTGTGTTTGTTTAATATTTTGGAAATATTTTTGGTAACCCCTGCTATGTACGGTAAAGTGATGGTTTTGGTTGGATCCCCCGAAGGTTGTCTCCCCATGGCTGGGGAGGCAGCTTTGCGGACTGTACGGTCTGAGTATCCGTTCATCCTGAGGGCTTGGTGTTCCAACTGACTAGCGAGGTGGTGCTGGTCGGAGATGCAACGGGCCCTATGGTGTAGTGTTTTGATGAGGGAATTATTCTGGGCTGGATGGCGGTGGGAGTCAGGCTTTAGATAGGTATCTGTGTGGGTGGCTTTCCTGTAGACCGAATGTCCCAACGAGCCATTAGGTCTCTTCTCGATCAAACATCCAGGAATGGTAGCTTGCCATCCTTCTCCACTTCCATGGTAAATGTATTACTCCTGTTCATGCGCCAGTTATAGGCACTGCTATATCTATCTTTACTGTCACATACACTTGACTTATCCCCGCTCTCATCTATTCTGCACCTCACCTATCCAGCCCTCAGCAACTCTGCCCACAGCAACACTGCGCTCAGCGACTCTACACACAGTGACTACACACTCAGCGACTCTGCACTCAGGAACTCTGCACACAGCAACACTGCACACAGTAACTCTGCACACAGCAACTCTGCACACAGCAACACTGCGCTCAGCGACTCTGCACACAGTAACTACACACTCAGCGACTCTGCACACAGTGACTACACACTCAGCGACTCTGCACACAGTGACTACACACTCAGCGACTCTGCACTCAGGAACTCTGCACACAGCAACTCTGCACTCAGGAACTCTGCACTCAGGAACTCTGCACACAACAACACTGCACTCAGCGACTTTGCACACAGAAACTACACACTCAGCAACTCTGCATTCAGTAACTACGCACTCAGCGACTTTTAGAACTCTCCACCGCTGCCCTCACCTGTGTTGCCTCATACCCGCTCACCCATCTGTCCCGGGCGGGGGGTTTAGCCAACACCCGCCCAGCGACGGTGTTAGGGTTGAGCTTCAGTAATCTCCCATGGGAGATGAATGTGACATTGACTTCTACGGGAGATTAATGTGACATTGACTCCTACGGGAGATGAATGTGACATTGACTCCTACGGGAGATGAATGTGACATTGATTCCTACGGGAGATGAATGTGACATTGACTCCTACGGGAGATGAATGCGACATTGACTCCTACGGGAGATGAATGTGACATTGACTCCTACGGGAGATGAATGTGCCATTGATTCCTACGGGAGATGAATGTGACATTGACTCCTACGGGAGATTAATGTGACATTGACTCCTACGGGAGATTAATGTGACATTGACTCCTACGGGAGATGAATCTGACATTGATTCCTACGGGAGATGAATGTGCCATTGATTCCTACGGGAGATGAATGTGACATTGACTCCTACGGGAGATGAATGTGACATTGACTCCTACGGGAGATGAATGTGACATTGACTCCTACGGAAGATGAATGTGACATTGACTCCTACGGGAGATGAATGTGACATTGACTCCTACGGGAGATGAATGTGACATTGACTCCTACAGGAGATGAATCTGACATTGACTCCTACGGAGATGAATGTGACATTGACTCCTACGGGAGATGAATGTGACATTGACTCCTACGGGAGATGAATGTGACATTGACTCCTACGGGAGATGAATCTGACATTGACTCCTACGGGAGATGAATGTGACATTGACTCCTACGGGAGATTAATGTGACATTGACTCCTACGGAAGATGAATGTGACATTGACTCCTACGGGAGATGAATCTGACATTGACTCCTACGGGAGATGAATGTGACATTGACTCCTACGGGAGATGAATGTGACATTGACTCCTACGGAAGATGAATGTGACATTGACTCCTACGGGAGATGAATGTGACATTGACTCCTACGGGAGATGAATCTGACATTGACTCCTACGGGAGATGAATGTGACATTGACTCACAGCAGCAGGAGGAGCGTCGTCATGGTGTAGGATCCACGCCGACGAGTTGACCTCTGAACCCGGGGCGGAGGGGGGGGGTCACGTGCAGGATGATTGTGGGGGGGTCACGGCATCACCCTGGTCAATAGAAGGTGACGTCAAGTTACGTGAAAATGAAGTTCACCTTCAATCCTTCCTGCTGGCTTGCAAACAACAGCCGCCATTCGCAAACAACGAGTCTGTGGGTCTCTGTGTGAGTCTGTGGGTCTCTGTGTGATGAGTCTGTGGGTCTCTGTGTGAGTCTGTGGGTCTCTGTGTGAGGCTGTGGGTCTCTGTGTGGTGAGTCTGTGGGTCTCTGTGTGGTGAGTCTGTGGGTCTCTGTGTGAGTCTGTGGGTCTCTGTGTGGTGAGTCTGTGGGTCTCTGTGTGAGTCTGTGGGTCTCTGTGTGGTGAGTCTGTGGGTCTCTGTGTGAGTCTGTGGGTCTCTGTGTGATGAGTCTATGGGTCTCTGTGTGGTGAGTCTGTGGGTCTCTGTGTGAGTCTGTGGGTCTCTGTGTAATGAGTCTGTGGATCTCTGTGTGATGAGTCTGTGGGTGTCTGTGTGGTGAGTCTGTGGGTCTCTGTGTGATGAGTCTGTGGGTGTCTGTGTGGTGAGTCTGTGGGTCTCTGTGTGATGAGTCTGTGGGTCTCTGTGTGGTGAGTCTGTGGGTCTCTGTGTGATGAGTCTATGGGTCTCTGTGTGGTGAGTCTATGGGCCTCTGTGTGGTGAGTCTATGGGTCTCTGTGGTGAGTCTGTGGGTCTCTGTGTGGTGAGTCTATGGGTCTCTGTGTGGTGAGTCTGTGGGTCTCTGTGTGGTGAGTCTGTGGGTCTCTGTGTGGTGAGTCTGTGGGTCTCTGTGTGATGAGTCTGTGGGTGTCTGTGTGGTGAGTCTGTGGGTCTCTGTGTGATGAGTCTGTGGGTGTCTCTGTGGTGAGTCTGTGGGTCTCTGTGTGGTGAGTCTGTGGGTCTCTATGTGATGAGTCTGTGGTCTTGTGTGGTGAGTCTGTGGGTCTCTGTGTGGTGAGTCTGTGGGTCTCTGTGTGATGAGTCTGTGGGTGTCTGTGTGGTGAGTCTGTGGGTCTCTGTGTGATGAGTCTGTGGGTGTCTGTGTGGTGAGTCTGTGGGTCTCTGTGTGATGAGTCTGTGGGTCTCTGTGTGGTGAGTCTGTGGGTCTCTGTGTGATGAGTCTATGGGTCTCTGTGTGGTGAGTCTATGGGCCTCTGTGTGGTGAGTCTATGGGTCTCTGTGGTGAGTCTGTGGGTCTCTGTGTGGTGAGTCTATGGGTCTCTGTGTGGTGAGTCTGTGGGTCTCTGTGTGGTGAGTCTATGGTCTCTGTGTGGTGAGTCTATGGGTCTCTGTGTGTGAGTCTAGGGTGGTGAGTCTATGGGTCTCTGTGTGTGAGTCTATGGATCTCTGTGTGGTGAGTCTGTGGGTCTCTGTGGTGAGTCTATGGGTCTCTGTGTGGTGAGTCTATGGATCTCTGTGTGGTGAGTCTGTGGGTCTCTGTGTGGTGAGTCTGTGGGTCTCTGTGTGGTGAGTCTGTGGGTCTCCGTGTGGTGAGTCTATGGATCTCTGTGTGATGAGTCTATGGGTCTCTGTGTGATGAGTCTATGGATCTCTGTGTGATGAGTCTGTGGGTCTCTGTGTGACCCACCGGTGCAACGCCCCACAGATGTCCAGGGGGGTCTTGAGGGTCTTGCTTCTCTGTCGTGTCAACGCCGCC